CAGAGCATTAGTATATCTGGTCCAAATATGCAGTATTTTTGGTTTAGTGTTATCAGTTTGATGCAGGGTCTCTGTCTTCTAGATAGATGCAAGTTAAAATATATTCTATATTTACTGAATTCATTTTACTTAAATAAATGTTTAAAGTACATTTATGAGTTTTTTTTAAGTATAGTAATCTTTACCTTTACTTAAGTAAAAATATGTGGAACTAGCATGACTCTCACTTAAGTAAAATATCGGGCTAGAAAGAATAAAAGAATAGAAAATCCCTTTAATGTCCCACAATGGGGAAAATGTGGTGTTACAGCAGAATTACAGCAAATGTGGACCTTAAAGCGTATAAAAAAATAAATAAGTAGCAGTGTTACCAAAATAAACAAAATAAAAATACTGTATTCTACAGTGTTTTTATAAATATATATACTGTGCAGTCATCTGAAGAATAAATAATCAATATACAGCTGTGGACATTTTTACTGCAGTGATATAGGAAAATAGCAGCAACACCAGAGATGTGCAAAAAGAAGGCAGTATTTTATTTACCTGACTAAGACAGAAACTGCAAAAATCAGCATGTTGTTTTAACTTAGCTTGTTTTAACTAAAAATGACCCAGAGAGATATACGCCTACTGTTTATGATTAGGTTAGACTTCTTTTCTGTTTTCCAGCTGCTTTGTTTTATTCTATTATATCGTTGTGTTCATTTTGAGCATGCCAATAAAATTATATGCATCCAGGACATATGTAATGCAATTCATTTAGCTCCAAAGGAGTAGGAAAAAGAAAACATTTTAAATCCCACTCTTGTCTTCCATTAAATCCTTTTACTGTATCTTGTTACTGGAAGTAACTTGCCCTGTCATAACCTACATATATAACATACTGTAAGTATTGCATGCATATGTTTTAGAGTAAAAAATATTGTAATATATTATGAACAGTGTTTCTTCCACCTGTATTTTTTTTGTCTAATTTTTTTACATGATATTTCAGTTTTTATTTAATTCTTTTAAACACCCAAATTTGCTTATAGGTTTGTTGTGTATATTTACATAATTTTTAGTTATTAAATCAGATGTTATGGAGACAGATAGCAAGTAGAGCAGTTACTCAGTTCTTGAGTGGTCTTTATACCAAATACATTTGACTCTTTAGTCATTTCTTGGATGTCTCCCTTTTACTTTAGTTAAAATCTATGCTAACTTGAGTACAATCTTTGGATACTCTACTCACTTCTACTTTCAAAACAATGTGGAAAAGTTCAAGAAAAGAATATTTTAAAGGTTCTGTATTTTAAGCAGTGACAGCAACCCTCAATGTCAAGGGAAATTTTCAGTTGGACAAGCTTAATAATCAATACTCTCGGTTTGTTTTTACTGGCGAGTAAAATTACTAATCCTGCTTTTTCCATTAATTCAGGAGGTTTCCCAGGTTACGTTTATAGACCTTTACTTGGCTGAAATCTTTCCTTTTTAATACAGAGTCATGTTCCAAACCCTTAACAACATCTGGTACAAATTTAAACACAAATGAGTTCAAATTGGAACAAACGTCATAACTTTTGTGAAAAACCACCCTTTACCATCTTTACATTATGGCAGTGTAACATGCTTTTTATTTTTTATTTTTTTTTGTGTGACAATACAGTTTATGCTTTGTTATGATTACTTCCCTTCATTAAAATGTAATGAAGTAGGAAGACTTTGTATGACACCATTTTGGAAAAGATGTAAGTCTGAGTTATTTTGAGTTGAGTTGAGCTGAGTTGAGTTATTTTTTGAATTTCTAGTCTTTAACAAAGATGAAAATATAATATGAAATACCAATATATCAAAATATGATATATTTTTTGGAAACTACAGCAAAAAGGAGTGAAATTTCATCTTCAAACATTGAAAATATATTTTAGGATTTGTCTAAAATGCAGAAGAAGGCTTCATTAACTGTGGGACGAGAGGAACTACAGTAAAATCACAACTTGAAAGAGGGGAAAGAGGGGAGATACAGTGTTTTCTAGCCTTATGTAAGGCATACGGTTTAACAAGAAAGAGCAAGTGTCATGCTGTTTTGTTTAGTGTTTGTAGGAGGTGGTAGATTTTTATTGCTAATGGAGAGGAACAGACCAGTGCGGATGGTTTCCAGTCTTGCATGAAGATTTGATTTTGATCATTTTATTGTCAAACTAAAGTTTGCCATCTGAAAAACAATCTGAGGTGTCATAAAGTGTGAAAAACACAAAATGACACTCCAGACCACAGTGTGTTACTCAGTGGTGTAAAATGGGGTGTTTCTCAATATATGTTCAACTTTATTGCATATTTTTTCCATCATAAACCACAGCCTCATTGAATTTTGAAATAGCCCAGCAGTCCATGTATATTCATCCTCTGCTGGCTCTTGTTCATTGCTGCAAAGATCTGCATTCAAAGGCAGCAGTGGGTTTTATGATAGGGCTGCAAATTTTATAGCCGAAGTCAGTCAAGTGTAAAAGGAGGGTATTATAAGTAAAAATGTGCCTCAAAGCCATTTTGAGCAGTTAATGGTTTGGATGCTCGCAAACACTGAGATAGTAAAAGTAAATATCTTAGTGTATACATTTCCATACATTTATTAGGTGTTCATTCAGCCACTCAGTGCAGGAGCGGTATCACTAAAAAACAAATTTTATATAAACTATTTCTATTCTCTAAAACTATATTCAGAACTTCCACCTTCATTCTGACATATTGCTTTGACCGTGGCGTTCTTTGTTAATATCAGGTTTACAGGGTGCCGTGGCACCAACTACTGTCACATCTGTTGGGGAAAAATAAGAACCATATATAATGGTGCACAAAACCAGCATGACATAATTCACTATTGATTTGCTCTCCGGGCTCGCGGATCTTCATTGCGTGACGCTACAGTGCGGAGAACTCGGAGGGGTTGGCATCGATCAGCCGCTGCCAGTAAGGAGAAATTTCATTTTTGTGAACGTTGCAGCAGTTCTGATGTATTCAATAGTCTGACTTCTGGTGTTGTTTTGTGAGACAAATACATTGATCCACTGCTGTCTTTGTTTCTACTACACTACTACCAAATCAGAAATCCAAATTTAGAGCTTTACTTCATAAATATAAACTGTCGATTTAACTTTTCATATAAATAACAAAAAAAAAGGTTTTCTTCATACATTGCTTCTTGTTTGGATCAGTATAAATTGAATATTACTTTATTTATCTGTCCATACTTTATCAAATGTGGTTGGGTTTAGTTTTAAAGAGACTTTTCAAATTTGATTTAAAGAATAGAACAGGTGTTACTGAGTCAGTTTATAGGCCTCCATGCTCTCGCACTACCTTTCAGTTTTCATGGCGGTTGCTCTACCTTATTGTCTGCGTTGTACTGCAGCTCTTTTGTAATTAATATGAGTGTATGTCAATATTGCCCTTTTGGTAGACCCATTATGGCCTAAGCTTTAACTCACTGATGTCCTGAGATGTTGCTCCCATGTCACTTTCATCTTGCAGCAAAATATTTACACAACATTATGCTGCCACCTCTGTACTTTAGAACTGGATGTTGTTCCCACTTTTTTTCCAGTTGTTATGGTCGTCACAGTAACCTAAAATGCCTGCTTTTATTATACCACTATACATATCTCCAACAATTAAGCGTTTTGTCCAAGGTGCAATTGCAAGCCGTAATCTGGCTTTATATGTTGTTTTTGAGTAATAGCTTTCCCCCTGCTGATGGATCTGTTATTGTCAGATTGACAGAGACAAGACTAGAGTGATTATTTTATTGTACTGGTTTATCAAATAATTTAAATGTGAAGAGAAAAGGGAATGTGTCCTGGGCTCCTGGTCCCTGCAGGAACCACTGCTTGCAAGAAGGAGAGAGAAGCTACACAACACAGCTGCTAAAGTACCATTAGGTAATAAAGGTGGAACACAAGATCCACATTAAAATTGATCTCACAGTGGAGAAATTAACTTGTTACATCAGCTCAATAGTCAAAAAAAGGTGCCAAAAGGAGGATATAGTGCATTCACATGTATATGTAAATATTTCAATCTGAAAAACTATCACGAAGAGAAAGGACAATTAGAAGAAACTTGGTCTTTGGCGCTTAGACCTCGGCAGGAAACATAGCGCTGAATTTTGATAGATATGCATTAACAGGAGCAAAGAATAGGGCTGTTTCCCCCCCAGGCCTGAAACTGGTGGTGGAGTGGAGACAGATGAAGTTGGTCAGTCTGTAGACTGATAGTTAGCGAGACGGTCTGCTGAGCTTTATGGGGAGATCCAATGAACTGCATAAGCTGATACTAGAGCTTCACTCGGGGACCTGAAAGATGGAAGTCCAGTTTGGATAACACATGCTGAGAGATGATGAGCAGGCACGAAGCGACAGTGGAGAGGAAAATCTCCCCGTTGGGCAGAAACTCTGGCAGAACCAGGCTTAACATGGCCGGTTGAAATGAGACGCGGAATGCAGTAAGAGTTCTGCAGTAATGAAACTGATAAAGTTTTAGCTACTATGGTTTAGGATGGGCTGGAGATGGGTTGAAATGGGGTCATCTGAATGACGTCACACAGCAAAACCACCGCCTGCGCACAGGAGCAGACAAGTTGCCGATCGGGGGCCTTTTAATATGAACCTTGGATGCCGATTAGCTTTCATAGAGGTGTGGTTCAAAGCTGATTGGCTGTGTAATAGGTGGATGTAGGAGAGCAATCAGTTTCCATATATATAAAAAAAAAAATGTGCAGACCTTTCAGCCCAAGTTTTTACAGGATTTAACTGGCTAGGGATAATGTCATTCTGTTTAGTATCTGCTTTCAACCAATGTGTCATTCTGTACAGTATCTGCTTTCAACCAATGTGTTTTTAAGGTATTTTTGTTTTCTTCTAGGACCATTCTTCAAGATTTTCTTAAGGATAAACAGGGACACCACTGTTCTGGTATAACTACAATAAACTAAAGATCATTTTCAATTCTGTTTTTCACAGATATCACCTCTGGCTTTGTAGTATCCTCCCTGATCAAACAAGCAGACCCTGTGGTGGCCCCAGCTGTTTCCACACCTGAACCGTTATGCTCTCTGAAGACTCCAGGTGATACAGTAGCCTCCGAGACTACCTTGGCTTCACATGGAGAGGAGAAACTGTCAAAGACAAATTCCCCCTCAGAAACAGATGTGGACCATGAAGCCGAAGCTGAAATGGAGACCGACACAGAGACAGAGGAGGAGAAAGCCCGGCGCCTTCTTTACTGCTCGCTCTGCAAAGTGGCAGTTAACTCGGCGTCACAGCTGGAAGCTCACAACAGTGGTAAGAAACAATGTAATAAATATAGGAGCCACTTGATCTCCAGTATGAGTTACATCTTTTTCACTATGTAGTGGTAATGATATCAGGCTTCAAGGGAGAAAGAAAAACCAAAACAGTTCTAATATGGATGTTTAGTAACACTTTATCTTAAAGGTACACTATGCAACCGGTGTTGATTTTCCAGCGAGGCTCACCCCAGAGGGCGAAAGTAAAAGTGCACTGTCGTAAATATGCACAGCTGTTCTCCTGGTTTCTCCGTCAAGCCAGGCGCGGTTGTTTTGAGCTTAGCAGACAGGCGAACGCAACGAATGACTAATGCTGCGTTCACACCGGACACAGCTGGCGCGACAGAAGCAGCGAGTTTACATGCAAAGTCAATGGTTGACGCGCGTCAAGGCGCAGCAAAAGGTCCCGCGGCGCGTTTTGAGCAGCAGGCGCAGCACGTCTGAGCAGCTGAAGCAGCGCGTCGGGCGCGTTTAATCATCTGACGCAGGGAGAGAGACACAGCGCTGATGATCAGAGGCTATGATCACTCCTCTTAAACAGTTTATTGACGCCTAAATTAACTTAAAATGCAGAAATCTGCCAGCAGAATATATTCGCTTTTATTATCCTGCTGCCTGCAGTTTGGATTACTTAGATGAAAAACACCTACCAGCTGCCGCGGTGAACCGCGAGGAGGCGACCCGGCCAGAGGCTGCTGATGAAAGGATTCCTACTGTCGGCGCACCGCTGGTATGTGAGGGTCTGAGCGGCTCCGACAGAAAAAATATTGAAGGCAGGGTAATAATCTGAATGAACTGACGGCACTGATTACGTTTTCAGGTGTATTTTCTCACTTAAACACATATTAAAACTACTTTATTCCCACTGATCACAGCAAATATAGCTGCAAGGCAGAGAAAGGATAGTGAAGCTCCGCCCAACGCGTGTCAGACACACTTTTGCACCGCGCAGGCAGAGCAGCAAAGCTGCTTCAGCCGCGCGTCAGAACTAACTGGTACAAGCAGCAAAAATGAAGCAGCAGACGCGATTTTGCTGCTTTTGCTGCGTCCGATGTGAACATAGCATAACTGCACAAAGATCGCGACTGTGCTAGCAACGAACAAGCTTTTAACTGGGGGCATGTAGCAGTTCTCGCCGTAAAGCAAGACTGACTCTCGCGAGACTTCTGAGCCTGTGGGTGCGGGTCGGTGCTCCTGCAATTGCAAGTGCGGTATTTCCCCCACAGACCACCAGGGCGGCCGAGAATACCTTTGTTCAACCTGAAATGACTCATTTAATCATCCAAAACGATATGGAACACATTAATTAACTGAAAAATGTTGCATAGTGTGCCTTTAAAGAACTTGTTTCCTTAGCAAGTTGTTGTTCAGCCCATATAACATGTGCCTCTAAGACTACCATAAATAAGTAAATAAATAAATAAAATTGCAGTCCAGGAATGAAACTTAAAAAAATGTTTCAATGCTTTTCTCTTCTAAGGTTAACCACAATGATGCATTCATTTATTTTGACTAAATGGAGTGTTTTTTTTTTTACCTTAGAAATGTCCTAGAAACCAACTGTACCCAAAGAAGGCTTTTTTTTTTTTTTTTTTTTTTAATACCAGTTTTACTCCATTTCATACTGTTATGAGGTATGAAGGAGAAAGTTCCTACAGAGCTACAAACTGTTCTGCTTTCAATGCAAATATTGGTATACAGTAGCCACTGCAATTAATATCCCAGGAGAAGTACAACTTTTTTTACATTGCTTGTTTTGTGCAGCTTGAATGTATATTTTGTAACTAAACAGCAAAGACATCTGCACTTTGAGTTGGACCTATTTATGAGCCAGAATTTACAAAATCAGATACATAAACTTGCTGAAACACTTTTATTCTTGTCTGAATTTATACTTGTGTAAAAGCTAATAATTAGTTATCAGCAAAACCTCACTTTTAAATGTGTTTTCTCACTAACAGGGTAGTTGATTGGTTGTTTTTTTGGCTATATTAAAACTTGTATTATTGTATGTGGTTACATAGTTATACTATTATCCCTTTTCATGCTATTAAAGCAGAACAAATCTTACTTAACGAGCCACATATTGATTAGAGCATATTAAGATCAGTGCTAATATACAATCTTTACATAGTTAGTTGGCTGTTTTGATAGAGCTCTTAATTTATGGTCTATTAATGTTAGAATTTGTTCAGGTTAAAAAAAGGCATTACAAATCGGTAATTAAGAAGTAATATGTTATGATCACTAACGTACATTAACTGGCAGCTCATCAATTATTAATTTGTGTTCCCTAAAATAAAAAGTCACCAGATGTTTGTTTTGAAGATTTTTCCTGTGAGAATTGCTTATGGTTAAATAATGGTAAAAAACGACTGTATCAGAATGAGTCACTCTTCCTTTTTACTTCCCCCAACATAGAGTGTTGATTTTTTAATAAATAAGAAATTCTTCAAAGTAAAAAGAAAAAAAAAAGACAACTTTTTTTATCAACAGGACTCACAGCATGATTGTCAAAAAACTCCTACACAGAAAATAAAAACTGCAACAATTTGAAGAAACATTTATAGTAACACCTACTGGAGCAGAAAGCAACACTGATTTGGAACAGCGAAATGCATTGTTTTATATTCAACAAAAGGGGATTTTCTTTTATTCCTTCAACCCATCTTTTTTTTTTTGCATTTGAAACATATTCAGAAAGAATCTTTCCTGTTTTTTCTATGGCTGAGAACCTTTGGCAGTGTTGAAATTGAACTCCTGCTGCACAGGTGCTGAATGTAGCTCGTTATGCTGTTTGTACAGTATATAGAAAATATAGGGAAAGTAAACTATATATCTTGCTCTTACATTTTATATCACCCTCATGTAGATTGTAATTTCAGAATTGTAATTTTTGTGTGATGCAGAGGTGTTTCCAAACATTGGAAGATAAATAAATGAATCCAAGAAGCTTGAAGAGGGGAGTCCAATCAAATACTATTGAACAAACACCACTAGGCACTAGGCTAAGACCGACACGATATCTGCAAGAATGAATGGATGCAAAAAATCAATAGACTAAACATGACAGGGTGTGTTTTTTGGTTTTGTAATTAAACTGCATCTCCTCACCCTTTCAAATGAAGCCATCTACAGCTGCATCTTCTGCTAATTTAATAATCGTCTTGCTTTGGTGGGTCATGGTACAGTAGAGTAGTTAAAAGCAATGGGGTTAATACATAGCCCTGAAGGACTTTATCGCTCTTATTTTGGTGAATTGAAAACTCCAGCAAAACATGAAGTACTAGGAGACAATGTTTTAAGCTGATTTGTGACATTAATAATGGCTATTTAGGCTGAAACATGCTAGTCAACAAAAAAATATGTTTTTCAAATTTTTTTAAATTGCTTGATTCTCCACATCAACATATACTGTTTTTGACCATCTTCATGTACTTGGGGGAGTCGGTGAAGTTGTGCCAGAAACTTGTGTTTTTAGTTAAGTCTTTAATTCCGAGGCATATGGTGGCGTAAAGTCTCAGATTTAACAACTTGTTTTAAAGAATGTCTGAAAGGATATTGCTAAAAGCTGAGCTTATATTCTAACTATGAGAGCATGGCAGAACATTCTGAATGTGCATTTCATTAGCAGGCTTGCAGCTGTGCATAACCTACTCCATTATCGAGGAGACAAACCCCTTCAGGTCAGATCCCGGCCGTGTTCTGCTGCCCAGCCTCTGTCCCAAAGCACACCATACTTTATTTACTCTCAGTCATTAAGACGGCTGCCTCCTCAGCAACTGGCCATGCAGTAAACTTCATCATGATGATCATATGCTCACCGTATTCTACGAACCTTAAAAGGAACTTTTCTTGCATCATATATGGCCTCAGAAAATTTGCATACAACCACTTTCAAATTAATAATAATGAAGGGTAAAACCATACCCATCTAAAAATTTTACCAACTTCTATTTATTTTGTTTTTTGTTTGGCATTGTAATTACCACTTACAGTGGATATTTTTTAGTAACAGTATATGAAAAACTTAATTAGTTTTCATCCTCTTTTATACATTTTTCATTAACGTGGTCTTAACTTAATGACCCAGTTCGCTTTAAGTATAGCCAGCCTGACAGAACGCCAGATTCTGTTTACTTCCAATTAGTGTTTACAAATGCAATAAATTCCTTTAGTAAAATGGGTTGTGGAAACACAGCTGAAACCCAATGTAGATCCATTAATAGTAGCTGTAGTATTTTATTTGTTATGGAAATTCTTGACTCATTAGACTAGAAAGGTGAACTATTTACAATATTAGTTTCTTTTGGCACCATTTAATGAAAATTACTCACTTTTATGCTATTTTTGGCTAAGGTTGAGATGGCTTATGCTTCAGAGCTGCATGTTTCAGATGTTCCTTATTTCATTGGAAATAAAAACTTTAAAAACCATGAAAATATTCCTCCAACCATCTTACAGTACCTTGTGGTTTAGAAAAAGGCTCTTGTGATTCAAAGAGAACTCAAAGGTCAAATGTGTTACTAAAACCAGTGGGTTTTACAGTCTTCTGCGCAGTCTTTGATCAGGGATGTTTTGGAATAATTTACAAGCTGACCCTTCAACCCTGCTTCTCATATTTCAGGAATCACAAGTTACAACCCCTTCATTTCAACTTTCCCTCAGGCTGTCTCTCCAGGGGTGACAATCATGTCCTGACACATCTAATTTCCTGTTCTGACCTGCAGGTACGAAGCACAAGACGATGCTCGAGGCCCGGAGCGGCGTGGGCTCCATCAAGTCTTTTCCTCGACCGGGAGTCAAAAGCAAATTGGCTTCATCCTCCAAATCATCAACGGGCCTGCAGAACAAAACCTTTTACTGTGAGACGTGTGATGTGCATGTCAACTCAGAGACTCAGCTAAAGCAGGTAATACCCTGGCTCTGTATGAACTGGGAAATGGATTTCTATTGGAGCAGGTTTTCATTTCCAATAATGGGAAAAAATGTTAATTACATTATAGAAAAAAAATAAAATTTTGTTATTTTGGGTAAACAATGTACTCCTCCAGGAGGAGGAAAAAAATGCCTCATGTGTGCCTGTGTGAGCCAAGAGGAAAATGATCCAGCATATTTTAAGTGGAATTCAGCACTTGTAAATGATTTACACTTACAAAACATGTTGAAATATATCCTATGAACTAACTGTTTGGGGACTGTGGGAAACCCTCATGTGTGCTTTTACATCAGCAGGAGGAGAATAAGGAAGGAAATAGTAAATCAAAGCAAAGCTCCATTCTTAATGCCAATTACATCATTGAACACTAAAAGCATTCAATGATGAGATTTGTTGGAAAAAAATAAGATCCTCATGTTGGTTTCCTGTCATACAGCACTAATCTTTTACTGGTCCTAATTTTCATCTGATTTCCTTTCTATCAGCCAGATTTTCTTGTAACCTTTAAGTAACAGTCTGTAAAGTGCACTGCTAGGTTTCATTGTCAGGTTTCCTGTGTGTTCTGCTGCAAGCAACTACAGTCTTTGTTTGCATATTTTCAGAGGGTACTTTGATCTCAGTTGTTTTTTAAACACTTACCGTTGCTTTTTTTAGTTGCATTTAACTATAGTTTTTGGTTGTATATTTATTTACAAAATTCAAAATATCAAATTAATTTCGACTTGAGAAAGCTGCTATATCTAAATACAGAGTCCAAGACTACCAGTAAAATTACTACTTTTAGGTCTTCCCCTTAAGCCTGGCTTATGCTCAGAAAGCAGTTCGTCTGCGTGTGCGTCGCAGTCAACACAGATATACCCCCCTCCTTCTGCAGACACTCTGGTGCACCTCCCCAAAATTGTAGGCGACCGCAGATAAAATCGCAGGAAGGAGAGGCCTCTGATTGGTCAATTCTGCATCCGCTCTACACTATGAGTATTTCCTGTTTGGTACCTAATGGAAGAAACTCTGGCTGTAGTGCCGTCCACAAAGCCTGGCACACCTTGGACACTATCCTAGACACCATACAGGACACTAGTTTGTAGCTCTGTGCAACAGTCTGTTGGTTTACAGTACACCCGAAGCCAAAACAGGAAGTGCCACGGATGGTTAGTCTTTCAGTAACACTCACGGACGAACTGTATGTCGTCCCGCATTGGATGAGGGGTTGAAGACGACAAACAAGCTTGTCAAACCGACACATGGACACCCACAATCCTAGCTAGTTGGTGATTGTCCCTCTTGCGTTGTGGGGTGGAATAACACCGCAGACCATGCTTCAAAATTGGGCATAAATCAAAAATATTAATCACAATTCAGTTTATTTATTTTGCGCCAATTCACAACACATATCATCTCAAGGCACTTCACAGTTCACCAGATCATGCAGTCAAATTGATTCAAAGTTTTCTATATAAGGAAAGCCACTTGATTGTGTTGGCTCATTGACTCGAATGCAATCCCTCACTCTGAGCATGTTTGAAGCGACAGGGGAGAGGAAAAACTCCCTTTTAACAGGAAGAAACCTCCAGCAGAACAAGGCTCAGTGTGAGCGGTCATCTGTCGAGGCCGACTGGGATTCAAGGGGACAGAAGCAGATACAAAAGGCAACTGTAAAAGGCGGCCCCGTCCAGGAAACACACAGCCAGGCAGACGAGCACCGAGCCAGCTCCCATGTCAGAGGATGAAGAGAGCGCATCCTGCCAGTCACAGTCAGAGAAACACGACTACTCTGAAAAACAGGCCAATCTCGAACATCTATAAACAAGGTGCTGATGGCAACAGCACAGCTGATATTTCTCTTCAGGATGGTGTCACAGCCAAACAGGAAATATGTCTTATACCTGCGACAAGCTAACTGCAACACACTGCTGTGGGAGTATACGCAGCCCTTTAAGTGGGGTCTATATTAGCAAACTGCTCTGAAAAAGCTGCTATAACCAGTACTGTATGGGAATGTGTGTACCAGACTTCAACAAAATAGCACACTGCTATCACATTTAGCCAAGAAGAAATAATGATGCCATTTACATTCTTTTCCAATGAATTTCCTGAGTTATTAGCATATTTTAGGGAAATGCTTGGGAACTGTTTCAGAACATTCCTTAGTGATAAGCTCTGTAAACATTGCTAACAGCAACAGAAGACTGTTTGGTCTGGATCATAAAGATTTCGATCTTAGGTCAAAAGTCTTTCCTCGGGTTGTGAACTTTTCCAAGTCCTCCATTTTTCATGGCAGGTACAGGTTAAAGGATGAGGAAAGTAGTCCAGAGCCGTTTCTCAATATGTATACTTGTGCGTTCTCATGTGCTTGTGTACTTGTGAAACGTCCTCATCCTCAGCCCTCGTACTGTTCCAATTCACAAGAACAGCAGACCGAAAATGGACAAAGTCCTTGGATGCTGTTCTCGCCCCTCCCTATTTACCGAGTATGCATAAGAGCAGACTTCTCTGTTCTTGAGATTGACAGCTGTCCCAGCATGCACTGCAGCAGCAGCTTCCAGTGAAGCGCTCACAGAGCTCAGAGTATTAAGTTAAAATTGATCTTTTCTGTTGCAGTTGTTCAATAAAAGTACGTTTTAAGATAATTTGAGGTGAGAATATTAAACTTTTAAGCGTCACTATATAAACCCATTTAAACGATTTAATGCTTAATTAAAAAAAAAAAAAATTCCGAAGTTGAGAGGACCGCGGCAACCAGCGGACCTCCGAGGCTAACGGCCGCCAGGGCTAACCGCAGCTCGTCTGCAGCAGCCCTCTCTCAGCATAGCCGTGTGTGAAGTACCGCTGGCTATGATGGCCAGTTTTTGGTTTTATTTGGCAAAATGTCCATTTGATTTCTGTTTATCTGATTGTGTTAATTACTATTCCCCCAATAAATGAAAAAAGTAGGAATTTATTATTATCTACAGACAATTACCAATTAACAGGAGGTGAAATGCAGCTGCAGACGAGACGTGTGGTGACGTCACTAGTCTGTTCCAGTTGACCCATATTTATGCTGCGTGCACCCGTTCTCCCAAAGTCCAGACTTTCCTGTGTTCTTCTCAAGAGCTATCCTGTCTGCTGAGGCTCCTTTAGCTTCGTCAGTAAAGCTACAGTTTTAAATGTCACAATTTTAAGTAAACTCCACTACTGTCTGTTTAATGTGTTTTATTTAGTTGTGGTTTTTTTCAGATATTTGTAGAGGTTTATATATTATCCTGTATGCATTATGTTGATTAAAGAAAATCCACAAGATCCACCCTTTCAAAAGAAAAGTTTTGATAAGTCATTAAGTGAAAAACTGTCGATAATCCTGACTGTTTCTACTCCCCAGAGCTGTATCTTAATTTATCATCCTCAAAGACTTCCAAATTGTATTTTCTAGTTAACAATGTTTTTTTGTTTGTTTTTCTTTTTTTTTGTCTCTCTCAATATTTTTGAAGCTGCTGTACCAAAACCTTCTGTGGTTCTTAAGATAAAACAACTTTAACCATCTAATTGGGTTGATGTTTCTCTATAAAAATAGACCTTCAAATTTTCACATGTACTTATAACGAGCAGAGATTGTTGTTGCTGTTTTTCTCAGGTCCAAACCAATATCAAATTGTCAATGGGCCATAATCTTTTTAGCATCGCAGTGGAACCACTATCAATTTTATTTATTTAATTTAATTTTTTTTACCACCTTGATGTTCTGTGGAAAATCAGGTTCCATCAGCTGTTTGTCATATTACATTACATTCTTCTCTCTCTTTTACACGAGAAAGACATGTCTCATTAAATCAAACTACAGGAGACCTAAATCACACTCATAAAGCTGAAATGGTGCTCACCAGTAAGCCAGAAAATATGTCTTCTTGAGTGACATGGACTACAGCTATCTTGAAAAAAAATCTATGGTAATTATAATTGCCTTGTCGGCTTTTGATTTATTATTTATTTTAATGCATTAAATTAACATCAAAAGAGTCTAGACTACAATAAGACTAAATGACTTATTAAAAGTTTAACAGATGTTTTAATCAATCTTTATTTTTTCCTTTTTTTGGGTGGACGGTTAAGGGTTGGAAAACATTCACTGATTTTGAATGTTTTGATAATAGAAATTTGAGGAGTGTGGTGTGCATTTAAATCGACCTTCTGTGCGTCTTCTCCATTTTTCTTTTTTTAGAAGCACTTTTCCCAAACAGCAAGTTATGTTCCCTACAAGGTTTCGACATCTACAGATTAAAACTTTTGCCCATTTCCAATTAAAAAATTCTCAAGGTCAGGCTGGTTGCATGGAGAGAGTTTGCAAACTTTAATTTTAGCGACATGTACACAAATATGTCTACCCTTTGGTTGAGCTATCTTAAAGGTATAGAGGATGATCTTTTATTTCCGGGTGGATCATCTAAATAAGTGGTCCTCCTAATTGTCAATCATTCTGGTGATATGTTCGTGTAAGTTTGTCCTACATGTTAGCTATCTTTTTCTGCGCATGCACAGGTTCAGGCATATATCTATGGTGAGGTATGGTTTCAGACAGTCATTGAAGCTGACTTTTGGCACCGGTTCTTTGAAAATGGCAAGGGTTGGAAGAGAAAAAGTATCTACAAAGTTTATGAGAAGAAAAGAAGAAAGGTCAGAAGAGGCAGATATATCCTGGAATGCTTTGGGTGGAGAGCTCTCCTCGCAAAAAGTAGTGATATGTCCGTGCGATAATTTAACAGAGTAACTGTAAGATCCACTATAAAGTCCCCGCTCCATATAGTGATTGAAGATTTTAGTGGACGTTCGGACACAGTAAGCTTGTATGAGCTATGAAAACAGCAACTTTTAAACAGCGTGCTTGAGGAGAATGGGCTTGTGCATGCTCTCACAAGCATGGAGAGTCTTTTTAAAAATCTGTGAAAATCCTCCACAATACCTTTAACACATTATAGCATCCTCCCTAACCCCTGCTCTGTAACAGAAAATCTCATGATGCTTTGCAAGAAGAGTTCTGCTCACAAAGCATTCTAAGATAAATCTGCTCGTCTAGTGACCATGGATGATCACTACTTTTCAAGGTGCATTGATGTAAGTTTCGAGTTGACTACTTTTTCATACACTAGATGTTCGGACACTCATTTAAAGAGGCATAAACTAATAAACATAGCGCCCTATATAGTGACATGTTTATCTAAACTGTTCCATTATAACTAAGGCTTATGTTGAATGTATTGGTCCTATTTTAAGCTAAAACCTCCACCCATTCTTAGGCTTTGGCTCCATTTGTAATGTTTTTTTTTTCCAGGATTGGGATATATTCAGCTCCATAGGTCTTTTGATTACCCTACCAGCTAAAGAAATGTATTCATAGCATAATGATGTCACCACCATGCTTTAGGGATGTAAACTTCATTAATGGTGATGTACGTACAATGTCAGTTTTCCCCTTGTTTTCATGTTGGCCTAAAGTTAAGAACTGGTCCCGTCTGACCAGAGAGAGTCTTCTTCTAAATCCACTACATTGCTTGCAAAAAATAAAATAATAAGGACTTTTGGATGTTTTGACTTTTTCGTCAGTGACTGTAATGAATTCAGTCATGCTAATATTCCAGTTTTCTGTCCAGCAGATTGATTTAGTTTTTATTTTTACGCAGATCTCTGCATCTTTGCATTACTGCGGGACCATGGACCTCTTGACTGCTTATTCTTTAACAAGCCTGTCATATTACTGAAACAAAATACAATTTACAGAGTAGGATATTTCTTAAAATTATAAGATATTTAACAAAACAGCACATCTCTAAAAGGTTTGTTTATGAACAGGACAGGATTTAAAGGGGGGCTCAACTTGGACTCATTTTCAGTATTCATGTTTATTGTGTCTATTCTGGTTTTACTACATTTCTCTGCTCAGGTTTGTTAGGTGTTAAACATTCCAGCTTTATCATGGATCTTTATGTTCTTTGTTATCTTGTTTAGTTCTGACCATATTTTGTGCCATCTGTTTGGTTATTTCTAGTATCTTTGTCCAGGTCTAGTCACGCTTTGGGTATTCAATTAACTTGATTGTTTCCACCTCCTTCAGACAATTAGTTTTTTTCATCTGCACCATGTTCTGTTAAATGGCTCTGCTTGATTCACTCCTCACAGGTGAATATTGTTAACTGCACCATGCCATGTCCAGGCCAGGCGTCTACAAATTAACCGGTTTACTTATTGTGCTGTCTCTGTCTGCTCTGATGAGCTTCTCTATCACATCTGTTTTCACTTTAGATGTGCAGACAAAGGAATGAAAATGTACAGATTTTAGCTGATCTTAAATGTATATCATAAAGTGCATGATTTATATAAATATGATCGAAATGTAGCTGCTTGTATTTAAAGCTTAAGTTCAATTTTGTGTTTTTTATAAAAAAAATTTTTTTTACTTTTTACTTGCCAAAACAAGGAATTTTACCTTTTAACTGGTCAAACAGTTTTTTTAAGACAATAGTTGCATATGTTGCCAAAGGATTTTCTCCAAAAAAAAAAAAAAAAAAAAAAAAAACAGGACTCCAGCCAAAAGAACAGCTTAAATGTTTTTTTCTTTAAAATGTGGTTGTATGAATCCATGAGCCTCACATTTAGATGGTCAGTTTTATTTCTTATTACCAGTATGATAAAACATCTTACTCATTTTTAATGCATTTAAGATTAAAGTTGTTCTGTAATGAGAAATTCACCGCTCTAAGTGTGGAAGTGGTCACGCTACCACATCCTGAGCCTTAAATCCTGAACTGATGGTGAGGTGAAATTGAATTTGTCTAATGAAAATGTTCAGGCTTTTTGTGTAAAAGGAAAGATAAAACTGTGGTTGCACTGAATGTCTTTAACAGAACTCGAGGAAAAAGAAAGTGAAGCAAGAGATGTTTAAATTCAGTGCTAAAGGCACTTAAATCAGAGGAAACACTGGATGTGTCAGATCCACCCAGAGTGACCGCAAAAAAAAAAAAACTGTAAAGAATTTAGAACAGGCTTAGACTGTCTGTACTAGGGATATATATATATATATATATATATATATATATATATATTCCACTGCTTTTCTGACAGACCTTCCTTTTCATTATGTTCCTATAAAAAATCCCCTAAAGTTAAAGTCTACATGTGTTGTGGATATCAAACTTTTCTTAAGTAGACGGTGCATAAAAACATGCAAATGGTTCTTTAAACTGAATTCTTTTTCTTCTGCTATCACCGAGATAAATTTCAGCTTTCTTCCTTAAAAACAATGATTAGGTCTGATTTTTATTCTTGCACTCATTAAGATGGTCGCCTGCTGGTGCTACCAACAATACTGACTTCTGCATTGGGTTTTTACACTGTTGCCGTGGATACACAGCCAGCCATTAAGTAGAGGAAAGTAGTTTTGGACTTTCAAAAGCAATCAGCTTTGTTTCCTTAGCTGTTGGTGTTTTACTTGCCTGACATCCTTGAGCTGGAAATTGGTTACATTTTTCTTTTCACAAATAGTTTTACCTAATTTGAATTTGCTGCTTTTGTAAAGTTCTGTATCTCTGCGACATTAATCTTTTAAGGCTGAGAAAGAAATTCTAAACAAGCATTGATGTAATCAATAATACATTTTTGTTAAATTATATTCAGATTTGTTTCAGATTTAGATGGTGAAAATGTGTTTTGATTTAGCTAAACCTCACATTAAGATTTTCTGCCAACAATCGATCTCTAACTTCTACACTGCAAAAACAATCCAGAAATAAGTAAAAAATGGCTTAAATTAAGTATATTTAGCCTTAATTTGAGCAGGTAAATAAGATGATTTGCCAATGGAATGAGTATTTTCACTCTTAAAATAAGATAGTTAGATAATATTTACTTGAAATAAGACGATAAAATAGTTTTTTCTTATTTTAAAAGGAAATTGTCTTGTTCCATTGGCAAAGTGTCTTACTTACCTCCTCAAATCAAGGAAAAACACACTTATTTTAAGAAAAAATAACTTATTGAGATTTATATTTTTTGCAGTGTATTTACTTCAGAACGGAGACTATTTATGAAAAGAAGGAGTGTTGATGGGTAGAATACAGTTTATGTTCATTAATGTATCAATATAATGTAATGTCATTAAAATCAGTTCATTCACCTTAATGGAACTTTTCTTTCTTGTGTTTTTTAGCACATCAGCAGTCGCCGTCATAAAGACCGAGCAGCAGGTAAACCTGCCAAGCCCAAATACAGTCCCTACAGTAAACCCCAGAAAGGCCAGACCAAACAGCCGGTGAGTCTCTGCACTCATCAATCATCTTTCCAGCCACGAAAGCATGATGTCGACACAACAATCACAGCCACTCAGGCTTGTCAGTTCACAAGTTGCAGTAGTTTCATCTCTCTCTCCAAATGCTCACTGTCTAACCTTTTCCAGATGCTTTTACTTTCTAAAGTTGTATGTGATTTAACCTTATTGTTATTGGAATGAATGATAAAAAAAAAATGTAAAAAAAACTAGTGGTTTTAGGACATCTCCCATTAAGGTGCCTTTAGCAAGTCACGTTCGGTCCACCCGACAGCACCTGACTCAGTAAAATGTCATCTTTTATAAGCGGACCACCTACTAGCCAGCTTTTATCAAAGGTCTGCGCTCGGGAACGTTGCGGTCTAATTTGAAATCTTGATATTTTATTGACAGAAATGGCATGCCTGATCCAACGCGCTGCAGGAGGAATGCAGGCTTGGGTCGATTACTGTTTAGAGGTGATTGTAAATGTCAGCTTTAACTTATTTTGAGCCGTTTGGTTTGAGGCATCAAAGCGGTTCACATTAGAGTCAGGCGAGCTGATAAACCGTAGAACAAAAGAGAGAACAGAAATAACTTTTTTATTTACCTGCAGTCATTGTTGAACTTTCTGGAGCCTTGCAGCAAACCACATCTCTTTTCGGCGCCAGTTGAGCTGAAACAAGCCTTGTAAAATATTTTTGATTGCCATGTATGATAAGTAAAAGAACCATGTGGGTTTAATGTGGTGAGCGCTTAGTCTTACAAAACAGCATAAGAAAACGGCATTCATCACACCCACTGTTTGCAGAGACCAAGCAGCAGGGTTATCAGTGAGGGGGAAATGGCTTTTTCTGAAACCCATCATTGACTGAGTTAACGGAGAGGAGCTCCTCTGATGAGCGCCGAGAAAGGAATGCTTCCCGTTGGGTTTTGAGGCACGAGTTGGTTATTGATAACCTGTGACGGCTGCTGCTATGCTGGGAGGATGCAGCCTTTTCATCACTGATACACTAGATTAAGCTAGATAACTTAGGTGACATTTACACCCCATGAGGATTTTCATATTTTTACTTTAAGCTAAAACTACATGACATAAGACACAAAAACTGGCCATTTTTTTAAGGTCGAAGTCATATTTGGAGAAAAACATTCAGTAAACCAATTTTTTTATCTTATCTGGGTGATTTTTTCACATTAGCAATTTATCTTAAACTGTCAGAGAGAAGCAGAGCTGTTGGAAAAAAGCTTTCTACACGCCTGAGGCACAGATTACAAATCACATGGTAACACTAAGCATGAAAAGGACTGCTCTAGATCTTCCTTGGGGAGCAGCTGGAACAGTGTCACAAATATAGCTAATAATACCACATAATTGTCTCTTTAACGTCCCTGAGTTAGATGTTTTGGTTAAACTCTGATTAAGCCTTCAGTTTTTAGACACTTTATGTAAGTATTAGGATGAAAATGTTTTGCATTCAGGATCTTCAGCTAGGAAAGTGGCTATAATGTTTATTTATAATTTTTATTTCTTTTGTACTGTTTATTTCCAAGCTGCCCATAATTCACAATATAGTTTCTTTCAAAGTGAAAAAAAAATCCAATTTAAAAATAACTTCAGCTGTTTGGTTTAAACAAAACAAGATCATGAAGTATGATCTACTTAATGCAGTTTATTAAAGGAGAATTCCGGTTTTTAACACTTTTAGCCCATTTTCTGTAGTGTCCAGGATGAAATCGAATGATCGACACCAAAATTTTGACAATTGGTCCTGTCTCTGCTTTTTGGCTCATGCAGAATCCCCCCCTGGCTGCTTCAGAATGGCTTCCAAAGTGCATGTCCGATAATGTCCTTCAAACAACCTTAAACGTTCTTTTTTTAAAATATGCTACTCACCGGGTCGTCAGCGCTGTCCAGTGACGTTCCAAAAAAAGTTTCGTAAAGAAAAAACGTTCCTGTAGTGTTTTATTTAGCATTTTGTAAATCCCATTGAGTTCTGTTGGAATAGTCAATATCCCTCCGCCACCGGAAACGGAAATGGGGCCTGTTTACCCTTAGTTGTAGTCTTTTCACAAGGCCCAAGTGTTTATGCTTCACTCTGTGTACTCCGACGTCGAGGTGCTAACGTCTCTGTTAAACACTTTAAAAAACTCTGAAAATGGAATACGAAAGGTGGATTCTTGAGGATGACATATTGGACTTTGAGTTTGACGGTAGAGGATACCGTCGCCAACTAGTGGTCTGGAGTGTGCAACGCTTCAGATTCGAACCGGAAGCGGAAGTTTATAAGCGGTTGTGATGTATCGGAAAAAATAGTTCTGGGATTTACAAAATGCTAAATAAAACAAGACAGGAACGGTTTTTCTTCACGAAACTTTTTTTGGAATATCATTGAACAGCGCTGACGACCCAGTGAGTAGCATATTTTAAAAAAAGAACGTTTAAGGTTGTTTTAAGGACATTATCGGACATGCACTATGGAAGCCATTCTGAAGCAGCCAGGGGGGGATTCTGCATGAGCCAAAAAGCAGAGACAGGACCAATTGTCAAAATTTTGGTGTTGATCATTCGATTTCATCCTGGACACTACAGAAAATGGGCTAAAAGTGTTAAAAACCGGAATTATCCTTTAACTAATAATAATCATGTCACCACTATAGAAACGGATATCTTTTGATTAGCATTTACAGTAAAGAAGCTAAAGAATGAGTTTATTTTTGTTTTAAAATGTTATTACCATTAATACGTAATCGGATACCGATCTTTTAAACTTCAAAATCATTATTTAAAATCTTATGCAATGCTCAGAGAAATGCTCCATGTTGGACTCCACGCAGGATTCAGCATGTTAAAAGTTATAGTTTATGACAGGACAAAGAAAAAAGGCCTCAAAAAGCTACTCTTGTTTGGAGAAGACCTCGACCCTAAAGAGAATCTTGCAGCTCAATAGCCCAACTTAATCTATCAAGGTCTGCTGATCAGAGATGGTAGCAGCAGGGGAGGCTGCATGCAGCTTCGATTTATCTACAGACAATCTACAGAGCGACCCGGGCTCCTTTCAGTAATCTCGGGACAATTTTGGGTCCATCTGTCTGTAGCAGGGGCCCGAACAGGAAAGTGACCCAAAACACAGTATATCTATAGAATTTCTGAGAAGAAAGACAAAGTCAAATTGAAGGGCTGTGCAGAAATGGTCTGCAAACTTCAAGAACTAAAAGGAAAGCTTTGACTCAATAAACTAAAAACCCCTCAGCCCAATAAAACAATGACTGAAAAGAAAGGAGAACTGAGATTTATTGCTGCTAAAGGTTTTCCTACAGGCTACTGGTTGTTGTGGTGGAGAAAACTTGCTCAAAAAGCTAGTTTTGTGAAGCTGAGTGTGAAAAAAACTGCTTTTCCTTTATTGTTTAATTTAGATTAAATCAGTGATGGGATTAAATTTGCTTTGTAGGGTGTGGTTCTGCTTTGCCATTAGATTATGCTACAGAGAAAAACTAAAAGCCACCAGAAATGTTCATATTAAAGCAAATAAATATTGATTCATCTATAAATTGAAGTTAAGCATTGATCAATACTAATGTCTTACAGTACTGTTTGATATGTGATGGACTTTTTAACTAATTTCTTTCTTTATTTAAAAAGTTGTTATTATTTTATAAACAAATGCAATTTTATATCTACAAACCTAGAACTGAAAGAAGGGAACTTTCTTTGTAGCTTGACTGTTTTCACAAAATGTCAAAACCGTTTCCTCATATTCATAATTTGCTTTAAAATAAACTAAGATGCAATTACTTCATAACTTACACTTGTGTTAGTTGATTAACCTAAATAAATATTGTGTCTTTTACTCCTAGATAAAGCTGATCTTAGGAAAGGAGTGTCGGCCGCTCTCAGCTCAGATCTTACCTGCCCACTTGGCCGCGGTAGCTGCCGCTGCCATCGGAAGCTCTTTGACACATCGCACAAACCATGGCACCAGTCCAACGCCCAGACCTGCCCTCTTCCAGACTCAGACGCTCCCTGCTGCACTGTTCCGCCCGGCTCCCGGGCCTGTCAGGACCTCTCACCCACAAGTCCTCTTTGCCCCTTACTGAGCCCGTTGATAAGGTGGACCTCCTGCACCTCAAAGACAAATTCACCTGAAGTCATTTCAGCCTCCTACTATGCATCTTGATGCCATGTTGGAACCTTTAGCTCTAATTTCTCCTCATTTTGGTTATTCATCTAAAGCGGCGGAGCAGTGGGAGCTTCTTGTGCTGGATTTATTTCTCTGATCCTGAATGAACTAGCTGTCTGTGCCATGGCTCACACAACGGACTGGCCCGCACCTACACTACATCGTACTGCAATAATGTATAAGACTAACCCTGTGAACTATGCAGTGTTATTACATCCTGATTCCAGGCAGTGTGAGCTGAAACTAGGGTAGGGATCTAGTGCATGGCACTAAGGTCTTTACCCTCGTGGAGAAAAAAATTGTCACTCATAATTTAAACAGGTTGTTACTGGTACTGAGAGCTGGACAAGCCCTCCTCTGTTCCTGTATGCACTTTAAGCTCTTTCTCTGATGTCTACAGTAGATGGCTAGACTGTGTTAGATGGTTACTGTGTCGTAAAGCGTGTTTTTCTTTCTTTCTTTTTTTTTTTGCATTGTCTCTGCAAATCTTTGTCTGAGAGAGTGTTGTCTATATCTGTGTGAGCGTGGGAGGTAATTTTATCCATCATAAGCCATTCCAGTTGTTACCCAGCACCCATTGTCACAGACTGTCTCTGGCTAGAGGGATCACAAAAGCTTGTCGTGTTAATTGTCGTGTTAAAGATGAACAGTTTCAAATAAAAGAACCTTAATTTGTTACCAATGGTGTCCCTCTGTGTTTAAATTGTTATCATTTAAAGCTACAGTTTGTAATAATTACAGGGATATACAATCAGAAATGTAATATATTATACATAACTATGTTATTTATCATCATCTACGAGCTCAGCCTCTTAACCTTCATATTTGCGTTGCCTTAGAATTCGTTATTTATAATTACTGTACATAGGAGCGGGTCTCGTAGCCATGGAGGCAGACATCTTTGCGCTACGGCAGCGCAGAGCCAACAAACTAGCGATTGCGAGATCGCCAAAACGTCACAACGATGTAGAAAAAATAACGGGTATATTTATTATCTTAAGTCTACATGAAATCTATACCCTACACAGACCAATGAAATACTATCTGTAAAATTATCTATGTAAACAAACCTCATCACTTGAGAAGGTAGGTGATGCGGACGTCGTGGAAGACATTTTGTCCTGTAACGCTCGCCCCCAACGCTACTGTTGGGGGCGAGAAGCGATGGGGGGGAGATGTTCATGTTGCTGCAGTCTGCAGTCTGACCGCTAGATGTCGCTAAAAGTTACACACTGTAGCTTGAAGGGAAATCAGTAGAGGTAGTATTTTGTTTAAACTGCTTCTTTGTTTTTATTTACGTTCATGATAAGCGTTTGCTCATAAATAAAGATATAACCTGCTTAAATAATAGAAAATGGCTTAATGAAAAGGTTTTACGGGGAGTGGCAAGCCTAGTGGTTAGGACATTGACCTTTGAATCCTAAGATTCTGAGTTTTAGCCCCACTCCCACAGACTGGCACTCTGGGTCCCTGAGCAAAAGACCCTTAACCCAACACCGCTTCTCATGCGCCGCACAATGGCAGCTCACTGCTTCCAAAGGTGATGGGTTAAATGCAGAGAGTTAATTTCGTTGCTCTGTACTTGACAGTTTAATGACAATAAAAGCTGGGAAAAGGGGCTGAAGATTAAATAAGGGTAGTGTGAATAAATGCAGATAATGATTCATTTACTAGAACTATTCAAAACAACATGCCACCACCTTTTTTTTTAAAACACTGTCCTGTCTGGCAATGTGGCAATAAGAATAATTGTCTTGGTGCCAGAAAAAGCCCAACAGATTTTACTTTCACAAGTTGAGCAGTACGGCTATCGCCATAGTGCTCCTCTTGATGAATGCATATAAATATCTTTATTATAATCATGCAGGGAGTTTTACAGATTATATGGATACTGCAATGTAAGTAGAATAGGAAAGGAAAAACGGGAAAAGGGAGAAAAGGTGAAAGGAAGAGGAGATAAAAGGGAGATAATAATAAAACATCTTCAGTCTGCTTCATCACCTGCAAAGAGATGTAAAAAGAACAGCACAACCAACGAAGATGGTACAAGGCATACAATAAAGTAACACCTTGATTCTAATGCTGAAGTGTAAGTAGTATTATTTAATCTGACAAATTAATTAATGTGCCACCACCTTAATATTTCCACATATACCAAATAGGATGTTGTGCCAGTCTTGTAAAACAAAACTGCTACCCTGCTGTTCCTATAACGGACTATGGATATTTCCATCCCTGCAGAGGAGCTTCAGTCCAGTCTTCATTGCAGAGAATGTTTCTTCAACCACACTGCAAACTTTTTAAGCATAAGCATCCTGTTTAAAGTAATACTAGAACAGCTTATTCAGATGTCACTACAACATTTCAAAAGTCATAAGTTGCCTTTTAATGGTGTTCAGATAAATTTTGGATTATTGCTCTGGATGGACTTGCCGTATATGAAGAACATAACAAGGGAAAGTCTCAATCGGATTGTTGTGTTACGATCATTGTCCTTAACTAGGGAAATTAAGGGCCGGCGGGGCTTGTGTTCTAGGTTTGTTTATGAACTCATAAAAGGATTATAAATGATCAGCCATTCCTGGGAATGTTAAGCATTTGTGAATTTAATTATAAGTCTCTGTAGACCCAAAGGAAAACACCTTCTGATTGATTGATTAAATGATTGATTGATTATTGAGTCCTACCTCATGTTGAGTTTGTTTATTTATTTATTATTTATTCATTCTATACATCAAGCACTAAACCGGCCTGTATATGAAGTGGAAATAAACAGCAAAGTAAATCACTGTTCCTTTAATATGTAAGAATGGAATATACGGGTCCAGGTTGAATTTTATGTTCCATGACAATCATCTGTTGGAGCAAAAGCAGAAACAAATCTGCGGGTTTTTTTTTTTTTTTCACTGCTTTAATAACACCAGCAGTTAAAGGTTTTTTATTGCTCTCGTCTAAGTTGGATTTGATTTTTTTTGTACCCTTTTTAATGAGTTAAAAGGGTTAGCTTATGTTGGCAATAAATTCATTTATAAAGTTTGTTCCTTGGGTGTTTTCACCAAAGAACATGAATATCCACAAATAATGAAGAGGAGACTTGGGATTGAATAAATGATCTGCTGTTGATTTAATATTTTCATGATGGCTATCGCTGTTAGTTAATCTCAGTTTCATATAACCTGTGGATGGATAGAGGAATAAAGTGCAAGATCTGAGTAGAAAAATCGAAAACTTGAATGAATTACGTCAAAGTTGCCATTTTGATCCTTTGAGGTGTCTACTTCAATCATTCATGGAGCATGGTGGACCTGGGAATGTAGCCAGCCTTAAATATATATAGTTATAGAAAAGGTTTGAATCATTATCAACGAAACCAAAAGTAAAGAATGTTTGGTGTTGAGTTGTGATAAAGAGCTGTTAACAGCGAACATTGCCTCAACACCAGGCCCCCTTCATATATACACTTATATGATGGATTGGACAAATTACATATCTTTTCTTCTATTTTTAATTAAAGGAGATTTTTTTTTGCATTTATTTTGGATTAAGTTCAACTAAGATTCAAAGTTATGAAACAGCTGAATGATGATGATGATGCCAGGTTTTCAAAATAAGGCAGAAAATTGATTGGAGTAAACTTACAATTAAATGATCCTCTCAAACTTAAACCCTTGACTTTTCTTGGCCCAGTAATGTTATGTGGTGCAAAACTAATAGGGCGATATCAGTAATGCAAAATAAAAATATCCATTGCCAAAACATGCATTAGAAGCAACTTAGACTCTAATATACATATACTTTTTGTGGCTTAAGATGCCTTGACAACTATTAGGCAATAAATACATACAATTAAAATGAATATACAGATTGATTTCACAGTTCAAATTAATCTTTTATATATTTACAGGGTTTACATTTAATGTGTCCAAATGTTTGCAAAGAGGCTGTTTTTATTTAGTCATGATCTTAATAAATCTGAGTGAGGTTCTGTTTTCTGGAGCCAAGTTGCCCCAAATGCATAATTTAGCATTTGCTCTACAGTTTTAAGCAAACATAACCAGAGTGAACTTGGTTTATTTTCAGCTGTGAATAATTACACATTTTGTGTTCTAAGTGTTTGCCGTAGAAGAGCTGTGTACGTGTTCAGTTTAAATAAACTACACTGTGTGTGTGTTTATGGTAATTTGTCACCCGGTGAGAATTAGCAGTGTGTTCATTTTTAGCTTTGCTGTAGAACATGAGCTTATTTACATCCCATTTTAGGCATTCCTATATTTTCTGTTTGCTTGAGGATTAAAACATTCTGGAAAACTCTGATAAAATAGGAAGAAACGAGAAAGAAGCAACCTCTTATCCTTACACCTGGAGTAATATGTTTTTATCCTCAAAGTGTGAACATAGTTTGATCCAATGCATCATGACTTTATATATATATATACACGCAAAAAGGAGAAAATTATGTTAATATTGATATAGTGAAATGGTTTTAAAAAAAGAAACTACAGCATGCTGTTAAATTGGAAAGGATATAAGGTCTTTACCTTCTCCTTTGCAGAGGAAGACTGAAGATTTTTGGTCATTTGGTCAAACCCCATTTAAAGAAAAGCAATCACAGAGCTTTATACTGCCACCACCATGTTTCACCATTAGTATATTCTTTTCCAGTTTTGCATTTGGGTCAAACACTATATTTAAAATTCTTCCCAAAACTCTGAAAAGCTTATTACCCCCTAAATCAACTGTTTTTAAACTAATAAACAGGATAAATGTATCTCTTATAGTGCTGTCTACATGTCCCAGGTATTATTTTTAATATTAAACTACACATTTTTTGGAATTCTGCTTTTTTGTCTAAGGTCCTGTAGTGTTTTTAAGAATCATGGGCAGCATGCCTCAAGATCTTTTATGTGTCTGGCACAGAGAGTTCGGACATTTTTAGCACCTGATCCACGTCCAGAGCATCCTACGTTCTGAAATTCTTTGGAAGCTTGACGCTTCACATCAACAAATCACTGAAGCCTTCCTACAAGTAGAAGTGAGAATGACACAAGTCTAAATTAAAAGTCCTCAAGCACCTAAGTTAATATGTTGGGCACCTTTTTGATGACCCAAATGTGTTCGGTGTAAACTCAGCATAAAGAATTTAAAGCTGATGTTCACTCTTGGGGTACAGTTTGTAGTGCTGTTGCCTTGTGCAGGTTCTTTCCAAGTTCTCTGGCCTCCTCCCACTGTCCAAAAACATGATCTTTAGTTTGACTGGAGACTCTTGCGTTAGTTTGTATGTGTAAGATGGATAGATGATTATTTTTAAATGCTATTCATCCAGTACTAGCAGGCTTAAGCTATTGGACAAAGAATAAATGATAACAAAATATGTTAGCCTCAAAATGTTAACATTTGGTGGAGAGTATTTAAACCAAGAAATTACTTGCAGCACTGCAGCAAAACCCAACAAAACAAAAAAGACTTAGGGTCCTTAACAAAAAAAAAAAAATCAAGCCATCATTTTCAGAATAGAAAACATGAGTTATTTCTTTTATTTTTACTGTTTAAAGATCAAGTGTGTTATAATTACAAGAATTTACAGAAATGTCATATACTGTCATGATTTTGGCACTGATGACTGACTGGGTTATTTGTTCTTTTTATCCTCCTGCCTAGCTCTACCCAGTTTCTCATTA